CCCCCCCCCCCCCCCCCCCCCCCCCCCCCCCCCCCCCCTCTCTATCCACCTCTTCAACTCCGCCCACCCCTCTCCCCCCCTCTCTGCCCACCCCACATCTCTCCCACTCTCTATCCAATGGAAGGCCCCTCCATACTTTGCCATATGTGTTCTCCCATCCTCCCTTCTCATTTCCCGTGCTCACCTTCCACATGCTATGCTCACCCCTTATCTCCTTTGCCCTCTCCAAAACTCCTTTGCTCGTGCCGTCTATCCCATTCTCTCTCTCCCCGTCTCGCATTCTCTCCCGCCCTCTCTCACCCACGCTTGCGTTTCTGTAGCAGACATGGAATTGATGCGGCCGAGTAGGGTGTTGATGAAGCACCCATAGATTGGTGGGTTGCTCAAGCCGTGAGCTCACACGGATGTCTGGAGTGTTGGTGATACGGAGATTGTTTGATGACTCTGCACATCCACAGTATCGCTGCTGTGCATGTGGTGGACTTTGTTGCGCTCATATATTTCATTTGGGCACTTTGAGTAGTATAATTCATGATTAGGGGAGGGGAGGCTTCTCAAATCGCTACCTGATGTATCATATCCCTTTGCATTTATGGTGTTGCAAATCAGCCATAATATCTCTCTGGCTGGCCGCCTATGCCTCCCAGCTGCAGTGCTGCTCCGTCACAACCCTCTCTTTCTTCCAAAGCTGTCTCCCTCTCCCCATTCTCATCTCTCCAACCACTAAAACCGGCCCCATACTCCGATCTCCATGGAGGCTCTTGTCTCTGTTCACTGAAGAGGAAGGGCAGCGTGGGACAGGGGGGGATGTGCACGGTGAAGAAGTGTGAAGGGAGATGGGCATTAACGGGGAGTATGGGATGGGGGGAGAGGGTGAGAATGGGTGTAAAGAGTGGGTTGGGGCAGGGGAGGGTGGGCACATAGAAGGCGTATGAAGGGACTTGGGTTGGTATCGCGCCGAGGGCTGGACAGGCAGCGAGAGGGGGATGGGGATGGGCAGGGATAAGGAGTATGATGTGTTTGCGAACTCTGGGCAGAGTGGAGGTTTGGAAGCAAAGGATGTGGGCTGGCATGCCAACGACAGCTCTCTCTCCCTCCCCTGCAGCTCTCCTCTCTCCCTCCCCTGCAACTTTCCTCTCTCCCCTGCTCTACTGCCTCTCCCCCTCCCCTGTTCTCAATCCTCTCCCCAGCCCCTGCTCACACTCCCTCTCTCCCTCCCCTGCCCTCACTCCTCCCTTCCTCCCCTGCTTGCACTCCTCTCCCCCTCCCCTGCCCTCACTCCTCTCCCCTTCCACGTTCACTCCTCTCCCCTTCCCCTGCTCTCACTCTTCTCCCTTCCCCTGCTCTCACTCCTCTCCCCCTCCCCTGCTCTCACTTCTCTCCCCCTCCCCTGCTGCCACTCCTCTCCCCATCCCCTGCTCTCACTCCCTCCCTCCCTCCCCTGCCCTCACTCCTCCCTCCCTCCCCTGCTCTCACTCCTCTTCCCCTCCCCTGCTGCCACTCCTCTCCCCATCCCCTGCTCTCACTCCCTCTCTCCCTCCCTTGCCCTCACTCCTCCCTCCCTCCCCTGCTCTCACTCCTCCTCCCCTCCCCTGCTGCCACTCCTCTCCCTATCCCCTGCTCTCACTCCCTCTCTCCCTCCCCTGCCCTCACTCCTCCCTCCCTCCCCTGCTCTCACTCCTCTTCCCCTCCCCTGCTGCCGCTCCTCTCCCCATCCCCTGCTCTCACTCCCTCACTCCCTCCCCTGCCCTCACTCCTCCCTCCCTCCCCTGCTCTCACTCCTCTTCCCCTCCCCTGCTGCCACTCCTCTCCCCATCCCCTGCTCACACTCCCTCTCTCCCTCCCCTGCCCTCACTCCTCCCTCCCTCCCCTGCTCTCACTCCTCTTCCCCTCCCCTGCTGCCGCTCCTCTCCCCATCCCCTGCTCTCACTCCCTCTCTCCCTCCCCTGCCCTCACTCCTCCCTCCCTCCCCTGCTCTCACTCCTCTTCCCCTCCCCTGGTGTCACTCCTCTCCCCTTTCCTCCCGTTCACTCATCTCCCCATCCCCCTCAATCCCTCTCTCCCTCCCCACCTCGCACTCCTCTATCCCTCCCCTGTTCGCAAACCTCTCCCCCTCCCCTGGTGTCACTCCTTCTATCCCTCCCATGCCCTCTCTCCCTCCCATGCCCTCTCTCCTCCCTCCCTCCCCTGCTCGCACTTCTCTCCCCCTACCCTGCTCTCTCTCTCATCTTCCCTGTCCCAACGTTCACTCCTCTCCCCTTCCCCTGCTCTCACTCTTCTCCCTTCCCCTGCTCTCACACCTCCCCCCCTCACCTGCTCGCACTCCTCTCCCCTCCCCTGCCCTCACTCCTCTTCCCCTCGCCTGCTCTCACTCCCTCCCTCCCTCCCTGCTTTCACTCCTATCTCCCTCTCCTGCCACTCCCTCTCCCCTGCTCTAACCCCTCTCCCCTTCCCTCGCTCTCCCGCCTCTCCCCCTCGCCTGCTCTCACTCGTCTCCCTCACCCCTGCCCTTGCTCTCACCCCTCTCCCCTTTCCCCTTCCGCTGCCCCTGCTCTCCCTCCCGCGCTCACGCTGCTCCCTCCCGCGCTCACGCTGCTCCCTCCCGCGCGATCACGCCGCTCTCCCTCCCGCACGATCACGCCGTTCTTCCCGCACGCTCACGCCGCTCTCCCTCCCGCGCGCTCACGCCGCTCTCCCTCCCGCCCGCTCACGCCCCTCTCCCTCCTGCGCACTCACGCCGCTCTCCCTCCCACGCGCTCACTCCGCTCTCCCTCCCACGCACGCGCTCCGCTCTCCCTCCACGCGCGCGCTTCGCTCTCTTTCAGCTTAGATACTCGGTACGGATTCTCATCCGCTTTTCCTCTTCTATACTTCAAGCCTTCCCCTTCCTTTGCACTGATTTCTTACTTCTCTCTCCCTCCATATTTGCATCCTGCATCTTGAAGTCGCGATAAGCACAATCCCTTTCCTTCCCTCCATTCACCTCCCCTACGATATCTCTCTCTTTCATCTACGCCCCCTCCTTTATTTTCAGTTCTTCGTTTTTCTCCCTTGTCCATTCCATTCAATCCTTGTGCCACCTTAAGTTTCTTTTCCTATCTCAATCTTACTAACTCGTTCCATTCAATCTCTGTCCCGATCTGTTTTGTTCCCATTCATGTTTTTTTATCTTACTCTTTCTCTTTGATTTCGTGATTATATATATATATATATATATATATATATATACTTCATGCAGAGTTTCAGCTGGTTGAAGATGCTAACTTGCAACGTTATGGGCAATGAATAAGCAACGTCACTATTTATTCTTCTCTGAACTGCATCTGTGTTTCAGTGCAACCGTTTCAAACTGTTTTCTGCACCTTGTGTAGTCAGTGATCTAGGTCACTAGCAGCAGTAATACAGTTTGTGTATTTCAAAAAGTAGAATTGCTTTCATCACTTCAAGCAAGGTTCTTGACTCTCTTTTTGAGTGCAGTTATTTGAACTGGAAGTGATGAGTGCAAAACACTTTTTGAAACTCACAAATTGTGTTGTTTTTTGTTTGTACTTTATTTTTGGTAATTAGGCTTGAAGCTTCCCCCCCCAGCTAGAGCTGGGAAAGCGATAGCCTAATTTTGTTTTGATAAACTATGATTTTTGCTTCCACCACTAAGTTGGGGAAGCAATAGCCGATTTTTGTCTCGACAAAAATACGCCATTAGATATGATGGGAAACAAATGCATTGCTTCTATTTCTCATCAGTGGTTTCGCTCCAAATTGATAGTGCAATCGGCGTAAATACGTAGTATTACACTATTGTAACTTACACTAGAACAAATTAGATTCAGATTTCAAAAGCTAGTAAGTTAAAGAACATTTTCAATTCTTTAGTTTATATTTTTTTACCACCAAATCTTGAAAAACAAAATCGGTTCGATTGATTGCAATACCTAGATTGCTCCGCAACCCAAAAAGGATTGAGGGGTCTAAACACGTACACACTTGAAATGGTAGGCTTTACTTAGTCGACGACCACAACTAAAAACACACCTGCCAAAAGGACCCAATGGGTTCTCAATAAAACAAGTCCTATATCCGGGTGCTTATGGTAGTCTGACCACTAAGACAAGAGGCCACAAGACAATTCAGTAGGTGTAGCAAGAGATGCATGTCTTTATATATGTATATATAGGTAGGTGTACTGCAAAGTTTTTGCTTCCTACTATAAAGAGGACAATCCTCTTCTTGTACCTCTCTCTCTTGTCTACTCAAACCCCTCTCTTCTCTCGCTATTCTTTCTCCTACCTAGCTAAAACCCTCACCTAACATGGCATCAGAGTAGGTTGATCATGCTGAGCCTTCTTCTCACGCTTCCGCAACGTACTCTCTCCCCTCCTCTCACTTCCGCGCCGTCGTAGCGGCCTCGTCGTGCTGTCATGGCGGCCTCGATGCGCTGCCATGGCGTCGACGCGCTGCCATGGCGGCTTCGTCGTGCTGCCGTGGCGGCTTCGACGCGTCAACACCCGGACGACAGCGGACAGCGCAGTGGTTTAGCGACAGCCACCATGCCCACATGCTAGCCAGCTCGCCATCCAGGGCAGCTCGCTAACTGGCGTCGCCGTCGAAGACCCCCCCTCCCCCCCTTCTTCCCCTCCGCAGCTGCTGGCGGTCTTGTGCCCGTCCTCCCCCGTCATCGCTGAACTTGCCACGTCGCTGGGCCGGGTGCCTTGGGCACCGCCGCCGCCCGCTGCCGCCCGCTGCCGCCCGCTGCCGCTGCCCCCACCACTAATGTCGCCGCCTCGCTTGCCGAGGGGTTGACGCACTGTAGAATCCCACAGCTGCTGCTGGGTATGGGGTTGTTGGGCTTGGAGGTGTTGGGTGTGTGGTGTGTTGTGACTTTCTTCTTACTACTCAAAATAGTGGATAGACTAGTAGTGCTGCCCTGGTCTCTTGCTTCTATGAGTAGTGCCTATCTAGCCTAGGCAGTGTGTCAACATATATATATTTTATATATATCTGTAGGCTAGGTATGTGTACTACAAAGTTTCTGGTTCCTACTGTAGAGAGGATAACCCCCTTCTTGTAACTCTCTCTCTTATCTCACTACTCTTTCTCCTACCTAGCAAAAACCCTCTCCTAACAATGCAGGTATAGAAATAGAAAGTACAAGCTGGTATAGTAGATATCAGGATACATGGAGTGGCACTGCTACTGGGACTAGACCAAGCTGAGTACAGAACCGCTGATGGTCATGAGGCTTTAGTGCCTTGGGGAAGATATCAGCGGTGTTGGCCTCTGTGGCCACGTGTACTACTCGAGCCTGGCCACGCTGCTGCAACTCACGCAGCAGGAAGTACCGCAGCTGAATGTGCTTCGCCCTGCCATCAATTCGAGCCTCCTGACACAGGAGGATCATGGCCCTATTGTCAGCAAACAGGATCAGGGCAGACCTAGGCTGCTCACCTTAGTTAGTGAGCAAGAACGTCAACCAGCGGAGGTTCTCAGCGGCCATGGCCCCAGCGTAGATCTCTGGCTCACAATTGGACTAAGCTAAAGACGACGACCTGGTGGACCTCCACGAGACTGCACCAGCACCAAGACTAAAACTGTAGCCCTGAGAGGACTTGAGCATCTCCACTTCGTCAGCCCATGACGCGTCTATGTGTCTAGTGAGCACCACTGGCTCCTGTCCTCCTAGCACAAGCCCCAGTCCTGATGTACTCGCCAAATACCGCAGTACCCTCTTGGCAGCCGACCAGTTAATTGGTCGGTGCCTGCCTGTCGCAACAAAGCAAGCCTAGAGACTGAGAGGGGAGGGTACGCTAGATCTGGTCGAGTGCAGGTCATCAAAATCATGAGGCATCCCACCAGCTCTGTGTATGGACCACTAGCCTCGATCGGCTCAGCCGGAACAGGAGCAGAGAACTAGCGATCCACAGGCACAGGGGTGGGCTGTGCTGAGGAGAATTGGAGACTGAACCTCTGGAGGATCTGCAGCACCATATGGGACTTGGAGAATGTGATCGTGCAAGCGGTACGGTCACGAGAGATCTCCAAGCCCAAATAGTGCCTCCGCTCCCCCAAGTCTGTACAGGTGTGTCTCCTAAGTAACTCGGCCTTCACTGAGGACAGTGCGACTCAGTCAGGAGTTGCGAAGGTAAGATTGTCTAGGTACAATAGAATGTAGAACGGTGTCTGACCCGTGCGAACAAAGAGAGGGGGTTCAGCAGAGGATGGAAAGAACTACAGCTCGGCAAGAGTGGTGCAAAGCATGTCGTACCACTCGGTCCCATGTGAGAAAGACCTAGAAAAGCCTATCGGGCGCCAGAGGTGGATCTGCTCGCGCAGACTACCCTGCAAGAATGCTGTGGAGAAGTCGAGTGGGTGAAGCTCGTAGTCACGCTGCGTGGCTATGTGAAGAAGGATCCGAAGTGTAGTCATCTTTGGGGTCGAGGAGAAGGTCTGGAAGAAGTCCACACCCTCACGTGACTGAAGCCTCTAGCCACGTAATGCACCTTGAACTTCGGCGGCTCTCCAGGTGCGCACTTCACCCTGTAGAACCACATGCCGTCGATTACGTTCGCCCCAGGCAGGGGAACTGCGTCAACGTAAGTGCCTGTGGATCTGTAGGATGCCATCTCAGCCTCCATGGCCTGTATCCACTGGGCTGCCCAGGGCCCCGACACCGCCTCAGCATAAGAGCGCGGAACAGGGATGTAGAGAGCGTATGGGTCGCCCTCTGGGGATACAAGCATGGAGCAAAGATGGGGTACAGCGCCAGCAAGGTAGGCCAACTTGTACTGCCTGTCCTCTCGAAAGTCACTTCCAAGGGCAGGTGCACCCCCGACGGACAGAGGATGGGCAATACCGTAGACCAGAGTGGCAGTGTAGTCTAGGCGGTGGCTAGTAGCGAAGTCAGCGGCAACAGGGACGAGCGCAGAGCAGTCTTAGGAGGAGCAGTAGGGTCAATGACAAGCGACGCAAGTAAGCGCGAGAGGGTAGGACGAGAAGTGCGAGGGGTGTGGGGGCTGCATTCTTCCAGGGCAACCAAAACCCTTTAGCGATGACCAAGAGGATGACATTAATATCGCACCAGGAGCACCACCAATGCAAGGCATGCCGCAATCGATTGCGCATGATGGTCACGTCCCTGTCTGTAATTGCATGTTCGTAGGGATCGCGTTTCTCTTGTGGCCACCCACTTGGGATCTCAGCATTATGAGAGGTTATAAACATGGGTTGGTAGCTGGGAGTGAGATACTGTGCTCGTGAACGGGTGCACAATGCAGGGAAACTGTAAACGGTGCATAACATGCTCGGATCGCATGGCGACTGCCGTGTCAGGTCCTTGCAAGGTGCAAGGGGTCCTCATATCTCTATATCCCTTCTCTCTCTCTCTCTCTCTCTCTCTCTCTCTCTCTCTCTCTCTCTCTCTCTCTCTCTCTCTCTCTCTCTCTCTCTCTCTCTCTCTCTCTCTCTCTCTATCTCCCTCTCTCTCTCTCTCTCTCTCCTTCTCTTTCTCTCTCTCTTCCTTCTTTCTCTCTCTCTCTCTCTCTCTCTCTCTCTCTCTCTCTCTCTCTCTCTCTCTCTCTCTCTCTCTATCTCCCTCTCTCTCTCTCTCTCTCCTTCTCTTTCTCTCTCTCTTCCTTCTTTCTCTCTCTCTCTCTCTCTCTCTCTCTCTCTCTCTCTCTCTCTCTCTCTCTCTCTCTCTCTCTCTCTCTCTCGCTCTTTCTCTGTCTCTCTCTCTCTTTCTCTCTCTCTCTCTCTCTCTCTCTCTCTCTCTCTCTCTCTCTCTCTCTCTCTCCCTCTCTCTCTCTCTCTCTCTCTCTCTCTCTCTCTCTCTCTCTCTCTCTCTCTCTCTTTCTCTCTCTCTCTCTCTCTCTCTCTCTCTCTCTCTCTCTCTCTCTCTCTCTCTCTCTCTCTCTCTCTCTCTCTCTCTCTCTCTCTCCCTCTCTCTCTCTCTCTCTCCCTCTCTCGATCTCCCTCTTGTCCTCTTTCCTTTGCATGCGAAGGCATCACATGCTATTTTCGTACGTGAGCATTTAGTACGCGCGTCTGTGATCGTTGGTGGTTTACTTTCACTTCTTCTTCCTCTTCCTTTCCTTTTCTCTCCTGGTTTGGCCCATTCCTTATGCTAGCTTGAGCTCCTTGGCTCTGTCTTTGGCTCTAAAATTTTTCATCTCCGAGTGCGTGCGTGCGTACCATTTGTTGGGCGTTGGGCATGCCTCCATGCTTAGTTCTCGAGGCGTGTTGCGTGGTTTGCAAATAAAAAGTGAGGGGTCAAGGGCCGCACTCAAGGCTTTTCAGCCATGTTGACTGGGTTTTGTCGGCCCCTCCCCACCCCCCCACCCCCTCAAGGGTTTTTTTTCTTCTTCTTCTTCTTCTTTACTTGTAAAAACGGATGCCTGTGACACCATCGAGCCTTAAATCCAATCATTATTACAAGCCTAGGCCTATCAGCCTTTGCTGCTCCCTAGGGCTACCCTATTCATCTAAGACTCTTGCCTTAGGCAAAAGGCTGGCCACCGGCCATGCACCCACCGTGCAACCCACTATGCCTCTTGCATGTCGGAAAAGGGCACCGCCCTATCAATCGCTCACACCACCGGTGAGGGACCTTGCGCACCTCGCCCTCCCATGGGGCATGCATTGGTCATGTGGCTTGGCTGGCCGCAGCGAAAGCAAACTCCCTTAAAGCGCGGCTGCTGGCACGTAGCAGGGGGGAGCCCTTGATGTCCAAGTCCGTGTCGCGACCACCGGGATGGCCGCCGCGCGTATAGCCAAGGCGTGCACGCTTGAGCGCTGCCACATCCGCGACCGCCAGCTTGTAGGAGCGGGATGTCAGGACGTTTTTGGACTGATAGTGCAGGAACCGGTCGGCGGCCTCGAAACCGGCTTCGTCTGCAACGAGAAGAACTTTGAAACGCTTATTAATAAGTATTTCGATATCCTTCACGTTGTTGAGTGCGCCGATGACGTCGCCGTGCTGCAGCTTGAAGTCGATATGCTTCAGGTACGCTTCGATGGCAGTGAAGACCTCGGTCTGGTCGCATACGCCCTTGCGCATGAAGGTAGGACCTGCGGGCATGGGGCCAAGGGGGGGAAGAAGGGGGGCGGGTGCGAGGATGCGACGACGAGCAATGGTGGTGGGGGCCTCACCGTCGTCATTTTCAGAGTCGTCGCTGTCGTCGGGGTTGTCAGCGGGTGCGGGAGTTGGTGCCGGGGGCTGGTCGTCGGCGCGGGGAGCCTTGGGCGCACGAGGAGGGTTAGCCATTTCTTTCTTTTTTGTGGAAATTTATCGTAGGCGCAGCGTTATCGGATGAGGTTCCAACTATAACAGCACGAGCTTGCTGCTGTAACAGCGCCAAAAGCGCTTGCAGCTGGTGCGCAGTCAAGGCGGGGACGGCGGTGGTTGGCACGGGGTCAGCGGCAGGCGCATGCTGGGTGGTGGGGCCCGCCTAGCCTACAGGCGACGCGACTCGGGCTGGCGCGTGGTCTTCCGTTGACTGCACGCACAGCTGCTTTGCAGCCGCGCGTGTTTCTTCTGGTCTGGAGCAGCATGACTGCCGCCGAGCAGAATCTCGACTGCCGAGGGGCCCTCGCTGAAATTGTCCTCGGCAGGATGTTTCTGGCGACGGTCGGCTCCCCCAGGCGAAGTTTCGATCGCCTGAAACTGGAACTAGAAATGAAGAGCGTGGGTGAGGCCGAGTGGCCTCACATCCCTCTTTTATAGGCAAAAGAGGGTGAGTAGCGCTGTCTTTGCTGCGTTGGCCCTCGCTACACTTTCACAATACACATTTTTTAGAAAGCGTTACACGCGTAAAAAATTTTACATATGTATGGTGTTGAGTGAAAACAATATCTATGGATCTGATATCTTGTTAGCTTACATCTTCCCGAAACTTTAAAAAAAAAAAAAAAAAAAAAAAAAAATCCCACAAACTTTGATATGGGTTCACCCATACCACTATAATCACATATTGTTCCCATAACCATTTTGTAGACTTGAAATTGGCGTGTAACAACCAAACCCTATAAATTGGTGTGTAGGGGGTGTCCGAAGTAGTGCTGTAAGGTTTCCGGATGTCGCGGGATTGAGAGAGCATTCTATCCAACCGTACTAAAAACTTCAGCTACCGTACTGTGCCTTCTTGTGACGTCCTGGGACGCCACAAATTGTATTAGTTCGGACACCCCAGTCGCCAATTCCACCTGCAGAGAACAAATTGGAGCTCGAGTAGCAAGCACGGCTATAGGTCATCATTCCACATGGCGCATACATGAAGTGAACTCCCAATACATAGCCCTCATATTCCTGGGAGGGAGCGCCTTATTGCGTTTTAGGAACATTTCTATTCCCTCAGCTCCGGTGCTGGACTGTCACCTCAGTTCGGCCTTCCCGCCTTCGCCAACCGCAGCACCGCTTATTCCCATGAGTAGCTTCGCTCTGCTCTACCGCAGCTCAAGTCGACTGCTTCGGCCTCACTAAACGTCGCCAATACCTTTCGTCTCACACTCACTAAAAGAACCCCCCCCAGCCGTATTTCCTCTGAGTCGCGCACTTGTTCTTCTGCCGGTCCCAGTTCTGCTGGATCAGAAACCGCATGCCCTTCATCCCCACGAGATTGTACAGGTACTCGTTACCACTGTTGTCGCGACCCGTTTTCGTCGGTCCAGCATTGTACGAGCACTTGTCTGCGTTCTCTTCCCCGTTGCCATCGTACCAGCCTGACCTTGCGTCAGGGTCGCTTGCTGCCTCTGCGATTTCGTGGGCGATGGTGGAAACCGTCGCATCGATCGCAGGGTTCCCATTGGGCGACGTGTTCTGAGCCCCGCAACCATCCGGGCACTGCCCGTGGTGACCCACTAACGAATATATGACCGCGTTTGATCCGATATAGTCCATGGTGTGATACCCGCAGTACACTTTGCAGTAATCGGGAACTGTAACATCCGGGCTCGTAAGCAGCAAGTAGATTCCATGCGGGTCGTACGAAAACGCATTTCCTTCGCCAATCTTGCTTGAAATAACTGCAAGATAGATGCAAGAATACGGCATTTGGTAGTAAGTCTTTATAGTTTCCACAGCCCGGCGTGAAAGGGAGACCACACAGCATCCATCACCAGAAATCTGGGTATCTGATTCAGTGCTGGCTGGCTTACCTTCCCACACCGTATTGTTGCCAAATTCCTGGCCGGCCGAGTAGTCGTCGTAGACAGTCCCCGCTAGTCGCACCTGGGTTCATGAATTGAAAGGCAGAATGAGCGACTCAGACACGCGCAGACTCATCACTTAGAAGCAATATTGTTCGTCCATTAACCTCGTTTCAATCGCACAGTTATCACAAGATTTGATAGAATACAAACATCATAGAGTACCGATCCACGCAGCATCATCGCTCAGTAGCTCACAGCCACGCGTATTCAGCAAGCTTACCTTCCATGGCTCAATCGCTCTTACAACCGGGGCGTACCTTGCTGCTGACGTTTGTCCTCCCACCTTCCGCATCCTGGTAAAGCGCCGCGTTGACTGCCCACCAGAGCTTCACCTTGGACTCAGCACAAGAGTTTCCTTCACAATCCCCCATCACCCGCACTGCGGCACTCACCGTGCTGCTGACTTTCGCCTTTCTGCCGTTCTTCTGCTGGTAGTACGCCGCGCTGATCGCCCACCAGCGCTTCACCTTGGGCTCCGACGGCTTTCCCTGCCCCGTCGAGCCCGCGTTCAGCGAGCGGATAAAGTTCTCAATCACATTCTGCCCCGATCCCGCCGGCCAGTCGCCATAGTAGATTATGTACACGTTCACGCTGCCGGTAATCACTGGTCCGCCCTGGTACTTGATTGGCGCGGTTGACGAGGCGCCGCCTCCATTGCTTCCCGCCTCGCTCTTTTCGCGCTGCTCTTCCTCGTGATGCACCTTCGTTTCGAACATGTGCAGCGGCGGGCGCGATCCGCGGTCAATGATGTCGGTTAGCCGGCGCTGGCGGCGGTAGGCGGCAAGCGCCGGTCGCGTGCGCGCGATGCGCTTAGGCGGACCGGCGGATGCGAGGGGCAGCGAAAGGGAGACGAGGACGAGGGAGAGAGCGAGAAGCAGGAATACGAGGCTGGAGGATGTCGCCATGGGACGTCTGAAATTGAACGATTTCGCTGGGAAAGCGTTTCAACAAGAGAGTGTAAAACGGCTAAGAAGCCTGGATGCGAAAGCGGCTGTAGTGGGTGGCAGCGGTTGGAGAGAGCTGTACTCGTCTGCAAAAACGGGGGTGGAATCTATCTTGCCAGTTTTTAGGAGACGCGCGGTCGGTGAAAAGACAACAGGAGTCACCTGACCGAGCTAGAACGGATGCTCCTGCTAAGCAAGAAGGCTGCTATATGCTGGGAAGTCCAGTGGTTGCTCCTTGGGGTATCTAGATCTTGTGTCTAGATGGCGCGGGAACTGGAGCAACCGAGTCGCGAATGCCGACGTCGCTGGCCCCCTTTCATAATTATTTGATCTGGATGGAATGTCCAATAATCTCGCGACTCGGTTTGGTGTTGAAATTCGACTGCTGCAGATTACCCATTTTGAAAGGGATATATCTAATGAAATGTTATATTTCTTCCTCTTGTAATGAAGCGCAAAGAGCGTGATTGATCAACGAGGACACCATACTGTCAATATATATTTGTATATGTTTATAGGCTAGATAAGTGCATGCTCTTAGGGAGTACAGCACCATAGCACAAAACCATGTATGCCTCATTCTAATCATTGTGTTATTCTGAGAAGGTATCACGCTAGGTTAGGTCCCCCTCCCCGCTTACGTTTCCACCCCTAGCCCTAGCCCTAGCCCTAGCCGCGCCCGTGCCCTAGCCCTAGCCGTGTCGCGCCGCGCCCGAGCTGCGCCCGCGCACTAGCCTTAGCTGCGCACGAGCCGCGCTCGCGCCGTCCGCGCCATCCGTGCCACGCTGCGCCGGTGCCGCCCGCGCCATCCGGGCCGTTTGCGCCCTCCTCTTTGCCCGCACCGTCCGCGCCCGAGCCAGCCCCACTAGTCCGCGCCGGCCCCGCCACTTCGCTCCGGCCCCACTAGTTCATGCCGGCCCCGCTAGTCCACGCCGGCTCCGTCCCTTCGCGCCGGCCCCGTAACTCCATGCCGGCCCCGTAATCAACTTATACATATGATTATATGTAGAAATTATAGGCTAGATAGGTTTGTATCTATAGAGGGTACAACCCCAACCCTATATCCTCTCTTGCACAGCATAGCATGTGAGGGATATGGCAGAGATGGTTGCTTGGTGATTGAGCGCGTGAACAAGATAGAGTGCCAAGGTCGTGTTCGTGGCTGGCAGATAACCGAGCCTGAATTGTGCGCAGAATGAGCGAAATTTCTGCCAGTACGGGTCATAGGGTTTGATAGTAGAGGGCGCCTGGATGTGGGTGGTTATGCAAAGTAATTGTATCTTTAACTTTGACAGCATGCCCAAAAGTATACACCATACATGGAAGAGTTACATATTGTAGATTACATGCAAGGCAGTCATCTGGCTATGAGGCAGGCCTTTGGCCTGCGAAAGCGAGTGAGTGTGTGCCAAGGCGGAGGCATTGGGTGCCGTGGGTGAGTGGGATATGGGCTACAATCTCCGGCACCCATACACGGGGTGCTAGCTGGAGGAGTGGCCACCATGATGCGCTGGGCCATTCGGGGATGACTAATGTTAGCTGAGCATGTGAGCGTTGGGCGTGTCGCAGGGTGGCTGGAATGAGGTGGGGCGGAGGAAATGCGAAGCCGTGCTCGTGCTGCCAATTGAGTGAGAAAGTGTCAATCGCTGTTGCCTCAGGATGGGGGATCTTGGAACAGAACCGCTGCAGCTGGGCATTGCGTACGTTGGCAAAAAGATTGATGGAGTGAGGCCCAAGTTGACGATCCAAGAGCTGGAACCAATGGGTGTGAAGTGAGTAGTCATCGTAGTCTTGGACTTTCGATAGCTCATCCGTGTGGGCATTCAATTCTCTTGGAATCCATTCGACAGCGAGTCGTGTTTGGTTCTCCAAGCACAGTCTGATGAACGCTTGACATAGCAGCGTGAGTGAGGGGTGGCGTGAGCCGCCCTTGCGAAGGATGAACACCACCCCTTGGTTTTCGATGCGAATCAGCACGTGACGCTTGATGAGGTGGGCGGTGAATGTCCGGAGTGCTCAAAGGATGCCTTCGAGTTCCCTTCGAGTGCTGGAGGTGGGGACGAGGTCTTCTGGCATGAGATAGCTGGCCTCGTTGTGTGTGCCAGGGAGTTGAGTGAGGGTGGCACCCCAACTGTGGGCACTTGCATCCACGTGGATGACAGCATCGCATTGGTGACTGAGATGGAATGGGGCGCCATTGAATTGGTCGAACTGCGAAACCCAGAAGCGTAGCTCTGTTAATGCGGCCAAGGGTAGTTGGGCTTTGTCATGCCAAGACATGGCATCAGCGATGAGTCGCAAGAGCTCATGACTGAAGGCTCGTGCTGTGGCGCCCAATGCTAGGGTCATGGAGGCCAACATGTCGGTGACTCGCGCAAGGGAGCGGATGGGGACTCGTCGTCCTGCTTGGCCCTAGGTGATGATGTCGGTGAGTGTGGCCAGGAGCTGAGCTTGTCTTTCATGACTGATGGAGAATGTGCCGCGAGTTGCGTCGACCTCCAGGCCGAGGAAATGGATCAGTCGCGTGGGGTGGAGATGCGATTTTTTCCCATTGATAACAAAACCAGCCGCCTTTAGGTCTTGGGTAACTGCGGCGCATGCTGAGCGCGCGTGCGTTTGAGAGTTGCAAAGGAATACAAGGTCGTCGACATACGGGACGACGCGTAGGCCACTAGCCCTCCACCGCTTTGCCAACTGTTTGATCAGCTGGGTTAAAATGAACAGGGCCGTGGCGAGACCAAACGGCAGCGATCGGAAGGAGTAGTACGCGCCCTCAAATTGGAAGCCCAAATACTTTCAGTAGGAGGGGAGCATCTTGACGTGGTGATAGCCGGACTTCAGGTCAATGGAGAACATCCTGTCGCTGGGACGGATGATTTCGGCTATCCAGTTCAAGCCTTCATACTTGAACTTTGGAATTTCAAGGTGGGCGTTGACTTTGAGAAGGTCGAGAATGAGGCGGCATTTGTTGCGCTGCTCGACGACATTCAGAGGACTAACGCAGGTTATCATGTCTCGTGTAGGGATTGGCATGGCAGAGCCAGTGGCAACAAGTTCTTGAATTGCTTCGCAAGTGAAGTCGAGATGCGTGTGAACGCCGGCATGGCTCTTATCGTCAAAGTAGGGTGGGGCTGTGTGCTTCCAGGGCAGCCAATACCCTTCGGCAATTATAGATATGTTGAAACTGCTATCGCACCACGAGCACCACCAATGTAGGGCCTGGCGCAGTCGGCTTTGCATGATCGTGACGTCCTTGTCTGTGGCGGCGCATTCGTAGGGGTCGTGTCCGTCGTGTGGCCATCCGTGTTTGGGTCCTGCCCCGTTCAGGGTCAAGAGGGGCGATGGGCATTGCAATGAGGTGTTGGTGCCAATCGGGCAGCCCATGATCGTTTATTGCCTACCACATGGCTGGGCCAACGCCTTATCTTGGGAGACGCTTCCGCATGTCCTTCCCAATGTGTGCTCTTCCTCATCATGCTCTTTTTCTCCTCTCCATCTTACCCCCTCTCTCTCTCTTTCTCTTACACACACCTCTTTTCTCTCTCTCTCTCCCCCTTCTTTCTCTTCTCTCTCTCTCTCTCACTCTCTCTCTCTCTCTCTCTCTCTCTCTCTCTCTCTCTCTCTCTCTCTCTCTCTCTCTATCTCTCTCTCTCTCTCTCTCTCTCTCTCTCTCTCTCTCTCTCTCTCTCTCTCTCTCTCACTCTCTCTTTCTATCTCTCTCTCTCTCTCTCTCTCTCTCTCTCTCTCTCTCTCTCTCTCTCTCTCTCTCTCTCTCTCTCTCTCTCTCTCCCTCCCTGTTTCTCTCTCTCTCTCTCTCTCTCTCTCTCTCTCTCTCTCTCTCTCTCTCTCTCTCTCTCTCTCTCTCTCTCTCTCTCTCTCTCTATCTCTATCTCTCTCTCTCTCCCCCTCCCTCCCTCTCACTCTCTCTCTCGAACTCTCTATCTCTACCCCCCCCCTCTCTCTCTCTCCCACTCTCTCACTCTCTCTCTCCCTCTCTCTCTCTCTCTCTCTCTCTCCCTCTCTATCTCTCTCTCTTTCTATCTCTCTCTCTCTCTCTCTCTCTCTCTCTATCTCTCTCTCTCTCTCTCTCTCTCTCTCTCTCTCTCTCTCTCTCTCTCTCTCTCTCTCTCTCTCTCTCTCTCTCTCTCTCTCTCTCTCTCTCTCCCCCTTTCTCCCTTCCTTCGCAGCTCCTTCTTTCTTGCCATCATGCTTTTGTGCCATGTCCTTGGTGGGCTTGATCGTGGCCGCCCATTTTCTTGGGTGCCATACTGTGGTATGTTTGTGGGTCCCCACCTCTCTGCTCTCTCATACTCTCTCTCTATTCGTGGTATGTTTTCAACTAGAAAACAACTTGCCGTGGCGACACACAAACGCAATTACATACAGTGGCAGAAACAATTGTCCGAATGTTTTGCATAAATTTGGGTTTTTAGGTTTTAAGACCACTATACATTAAGCCTTAGTGTTAAATGGTCGTACGATTTTGGAGGGGCACATAGTGGATGTGTTCATACCTCAAATATCCAGAATATTACATTGGATCTAACTCATTTCCCAAAAGATATACCAGGGGTACATCTGGACAAATAGTTCCATGCAGAGAGAGCAAACTTCAAAAGTGTGTTTCTAGTTCCTAGCCCACCGACCTTTGGCCTTGATCACCGCCCACACCCTCCTAGACGAGCTGTCAATGAGGCTAGAGTAAACCTCAGCATGGATGTTCTCCCATTCTTCTTGGACCAGCTCTTAAAGCTCCACCATTCCAAAGGAAGGCCTTTTATGCTTGGCTAGCTCCCTTTTCAGGTAAGCCCAGAGGTTGACCCTAGCGCAGCCCTAGCCCGCTAGGTTTCCTTGCCTTGCTTGAAGGCTGGCCACCGGCCACGCACCCACCGGTGCGGCCCCATATGCCATTTGCATATGGGCAAAGAGCGCCGCCCTTGAAGAAAAAACGCTCACATGACCGGTGAGGGGCCTTGCGCACCACACTCACCCATGGGGCATGCGTTTGCCATGTGGCCCAGCAAGCCGCAGTGGAAACATACGCCCTTGAAACGCGCTTGCAAGCATGTCAGAGGGGGAGAGCCCTTGATATCCATTTCCCCGTCACGACCGCGGGGGGGACCGCCGCGGGTGTAACCGGTGCGCACTCGCTTGAGTGCCGCGACATCAGCGACCACGAGCTTGAAGGAGCATGAATTCAAGACACTCTTGGACTGGTAGAGCTAAAAACGGTCGGCCGCTTCGAAGCCAGCTTCATCCGCCACTTGAAGCACCTTGAAACGCTTGTCGATAAGCATTTCAATGTGTTTGATATTGTTGAGCGCGTCGATGACGTCGTCGTGCTGCAGCTTGTAATCGATGTGCTTGAGGTGTGCTTGGATGGCGGTGAATACCTCTGCCTGATCTCGTATGCCCTTGCGCATGAAGGTGGTTGGGGCGGGCGAGGGGGAGAAGAGGGGTTACGGGAGCAATAATGCTGTGGCGAGAAATGTTTACCGAAGCCTCACCAACTTCATTGTCGGAGTCGTCGCTGTCTTCGATGTTGATGGCGGGCATCGGGAGCATCTCTGAGGGCTCAATAGTCCCGAGGGTGATGGGGTCAAAATTGGTTCGGGGCAACTCGGGATGAGGTTGGGGCTGAAAAGGTTGACAGGGGCTGGTTTGGCGCGTGACTTGAAGGCCGAGCCTGCGGACGGGAACTGTTCGCATGTACTCGCAATGGCAAGCCCCAGTAGGGAATCGTAATTCCTTACACTCTCCCACCTTCTAAAGGAAGGCACTCCCTTTATCAAGGTCGAACACTCATTAAATTAATCCCTGATGTGACTGTAAGTCTTCAGCCCTGTGACAAGCTTAATGATTACGCCGGCCTGACGAGATCTTCAGGTCGAATTGAAATCGATGGTCAGAAAGTGTCGAAACGATCGCGGTCGATCATGATCGTTGAACCTTGATGAGCGCAATGATGACGAGACTTTGTGGGGTAAAACTTCATCCAACGGCTGAGGCATGTCGCAGCGAATGTAATCGATCTGAGTCCTTGAAGATTATCGACTTCTTCAGCTGACCGAACGGGTACTGGCAAAAACTCCTCTTGGACAGTAAACAGTAACGCTGTTGATTGATGATGGCACGCGGCAGGTGAATATCTTGAAATGATGACTGGCGAATAACGTAATGGTCGATGAAATGAAGAACCCGCTCATCAAACGCGAGGTCGTTCGTGTCACATGCAAAAGCACGCGCCCGTGTCCTACGAAAGTCAGCGAACTCCATCAACAAAGTGACGAAATTAGGCGCGGAAGCGTAACGGTGACAAATGATGCTCGAAGACGGATGATGGAACATGCCGCAAGGTCTGACGGAAAATTGCAGCACAGCCGCACTTCTCCCCCCTCCAAGAAGAAACAGTTCCCAACCACCCAAGTAAAACTCCAAGAAACCCAATGCTCCAGGGTAGTCGAAATAATCCCACACTGCTGCGGAAAGCCCCATCACTCTGCTTCGAAGATACCGTTGAAATAAATCCTAGCCATGAAAAAATGCGAATCAGGATGACTCCAAAATTTGCTCCAGGTAAATTGTCTTCAGGGTAAACCACTTCGAAGTGCTAGAAATTCCGGAACTACTGCTCCAGAAGACTTTCACACGAACTCAAAAAATCTTCAGAAGTCAAACACTGCTTGCGAGCTGGGCCCAATACAGCTCCAACAGTGTTGCTGCCATTTTTTTTGTAAATCCGATACTGTTGTTTTCAATTCGGCTGGCGAGTCGGGGTCGTGTTCACACAGTCGAGCGAATCACGCGAATTGACGATGGAGGCGGTAGCGGGTGATGGCGAGAGGCTGACGATGATGACGATGGAGAGTAACCGATACGAATCCCGCTCCATTGAAAAACCTCGAACAAAACACGGGGTCGAATGATGCCAGCTGCATCAGCTTCTTTGTCTCTACACGCCGAAAAAATCGGGTAGAGACGGAAACAGCTGCTACTCTCCTTCCCCTCCATGCGACCAAAATATTCCGATAATCTTGGCTGATGTAGCTCGTACCCCTGAAGATAGCGGGCACAACTCCAGCTGTAAGTCCATGATCCGCTCCAGCGAAAATGTCGGAACCACACGGTACTTTGCAAAATTACGGTATTTGCAAAGTACCGTAACCCATAAAACAATCAGGCATTACGACGCCCTTTAGCAGCGCCCCCACGGTTTCTCCACCAGCTCTACGCATGAACGACACCCTTTATATTAGGGAACACCGGAGTCCACCACCTCGGCATGAAGTTTTGGCCGTCGATCGGGGACAGCGCGCATCATACGCCGTCGATTTCCACCCCGCTGTTACCCAAATCTATACATTCTCCGGTACCCCTGTCCAGCTAGCCGTGCAGACGTTCACCCATCTTGTGGCTGCTACAGGTTACCCAAAACCACTTCGCTGCTACTTAACTAACTAGGAGAATCCGTAGAGATAGGAGTGCGCACGCTTCTAGTCAGAGGAGCTTTAACGAGCTCGCCTGCTGACCGCTGGACAACTCCCTTCTCCGTCGGAAACTCGTCAAACTACACCCGCAAAAGTCGGAACCTCCTTCTGCTACACTAGGTGAAAACCGTCAGCTTCACTGCAACAGTAACTCCTAAAATTTTGGGGACACTCCATCAGCAGTGTGTAGTTTGCAGGTTCACCCCCGTTATTCAGCCAGAATCCGTCGATTAATAAGTCGACACTGCTACCTGGTGGGAATGGTGATTTCCGGGCGACGTAGCTGAGCGAGTAGCAGCCCGAACGCCGCTAGCCCATCTGCTCCAGTACTCCCGTCATTCTTCTCCCACTGCTTCAGCTCATGACAGTTAACGCATTCGGGGACCGATAGAAATACACTTAATACACACCCAGGGGTGGTGGCTTCCGTTTCCGTTGATCGTGGGGGTATGAATCGCTGGTCCACAAAAAACGCCTCCCCACGCGGGAAGTCGCCCTCGCTGAGTACACTCACTCCAGCACAGCATCATCACCTTCAGATGGCCGTCGTGGTGAATAGCACCAAGGTCGTTAATCCCATCTGCTCCCACACAACTGCACACCCACACGTCCTCGTGCGATCGTGTCGTTCCGAAATTGTCGGATCCACCCATTGCCGAAATAGTGTTGAAGTCATGTCCATCATCTGCAACTAGCCTGCTGAAAACGCCGGTACCCGCGACACAGCTACAGTTCACCCTGCAGCTTCATGGCACGTCCCACCATTATCGCCCCCCCGCGCGCTCCTGACGACCAACTCCCGGCCGCCTGAGGACTCCTGTGCACTTGTCTCCTCGTGACAAAGCCTTTGCTTTTTTCGGAAGCCAATCCGAAGACTCCGTCCAAACACCCGAAAATTACGAAAGCTCTGACGAAAATACCCGAAGAACACGCCGAAAACGTCGCCCAATCTTCGACGGGAAATAATTCCATCTACACCCAGGGAAGGGGAGGACCGGCCAATCCCAGCCGTCCATCGGACAGGATCTGATGGCATCGGAGATGCACACGCAATTAATCTACGTGTCTTCCACTCGCCATCAGCATCCTTCCGTCCCCTTCCCTAATAGGGTCTGCTCCCCTATCGAAAACCTAATGGGCAAGAACGTAGCTCTGATACCAGCTGTTATGAATTATAACTCAGAGTATAGCGCAGAATACTATAGGGGAACGTTATTACAATGTTGTACATAATAATGAGGCCTAGGCAATATATAGGTGTGTTGACCTAGTTGAATGTCGAGGGTTGGACCAGTCAAGGGCTTGATAGTCCCCAGGGTGATCCCCCCCAAAAGGACCCAATGGGTTCTCAATAAAACAAGTCCTATATCCGGGCGCTTAAGGTAGTCTGACCATAGAGACAAGAGGCCACAAGGACAGTTAGTAGGTGTAGCAAGACATGCATGTCAATGTATATATATATGTATACATACATGTATATACAGTATGTGTGTGTGTGTAGGCTAGGTAGGTGTATTGTAAAGTTTTTGGTTCCTACTGTAAAGAGGACAACCCTCTTCTTGTACCTCTCTCTCTTGTCTACTCAAACCCCTCTCTTCTCTCTCTATTCTTTCTCCTACCTAGCTAAAACCCTCTCCTAACATGGCATCAGAGCAGGTTGATCCTGCTGAGCCTTCTTCTCATACTTCCGCAGCGTACTCTCTCCCCTCCTCTCACTTCTGCGCCGACGTGGCGGCCTCG